GTGTTTGGCTTTAGAAGTTATAAAGGGTGTGCTACCATTATCCATATGATGACTTTCAATAGAATAATACATTGCCTGCCCTGTGATATGTGGTGTGTTAAAGGTCCCTTATTATTACTTTTTTGCGATCTATATTAGTAGGTCATATCATTATCATATACAAAACATTCTGTCTCTGCAGTAAGGTGTTTGCTCAAACACCAAATCTGATCATGTGCAGCATCCCAGTAATCCCCTCTGTTTACAGCCCCTGGTTTCAAAAGTGCTGATTCTCTGCCTGTTACTTTAGAGGCAAAATAATGGAGCCCCCTCCCTGCACCGCCCCTCATGAGATATTTTTGTTAAAAATAATCACAATGGAGTGATAAGGGGGGTTGGGTGATTTGGCCTAATGGTTTACACAAGGGCAAAAAAAATCGTATTTAAATGACATCAGTAAGTGGCCAAAATCTAAAAGCATCTAACAAGTAACATGTACAGGTTTTTATATAAATGGATCAGGACAAAAAGAGAGGGGGTCTTTCTTCCTGAAACTTTCAGAATCTCTTTACACAGAGGGGACACATGTTGATGTATAAAAGACATGAAAAAGTGGATTTTGCGTAATAGGTCCCCTTTAATACTGAATCTGGAAATGTTTCTCCACTCAGATTTCCAATGACCCCAGTCCAGGATACAACATCGAGCAGATGGCTAAAAAGTAAGATAGCCACTAAGCAGCTCCAGTGTTGTGTGCTTAATGTTTGTTTGTATACTAATAATAAATACTTACCTCTGCTTTTTTTCCATGCTGTCAGAGGGAGTCAGTATGTGGAGCTACCATATACGGTAAAAGGAATGGACGTCTCATTTTCTGGGATTACCTCTTACATTGAGGTGAGTGGCTTGCTCTTCCTTGGAAGTGTTGGTCTACAATAAATGCTTGCATCTTAATAATTGTTTATTCTTCTCTGCTGTCTTTTGACTATGTGTAACATTTGTGACAAACGTTCAAACTCTCTCTTTTAGTGTTTTCAAGTGGTATTATTGCTGGTGCCTCTATCGGATTTCTTCCATTTTCCTCACAGCTTTGCACAACACAGGACGCATGGCATTTAATTCCAAACAAATGGAGATAATAGCTGCCAGTTAAATGTAATGTGAACCAAAAAAATAGTGTTTATGAATTGTTAGCAACATGGCTAACTTCAAAGTTACCGTCCAAAGCAAGGAACAAGTGTAAGAATTCCGAGGTGCTTGAAACCCTGATCCTAGGCCGACTAAAATACCAAGTCTTTCTGAGAAGTAAGCAGCGTTTGTAACTTACAGATCTAGCTAAGTTAAAAAAATGTTTTCATATCTCCTTCCATTCCAACACTCAACATTGCTCCAGTTGTTCCACTGTCAATTTATTTTCTGGTTCATAATCCTAACAGTTATGTTCTCTGTTTTAGGAAGCTGCTCACAAGATGATCAGCTCGGGTCAGTGTTCAGCAGAGGACCTGTGCTTCTCCCTGCAGGTACAACCATCTCTATCAGTTCATCAAATAATATAGCCCTAACTGAATCTGTGTAGCAAAGTGAGTTAAAAAGCTCTATACCGGGGGTGTCCAAACTTTTTTCCCTGAGGGCCACATACAGAAAAGCATACGATGGGCCTGGCCACTCACTAGAGGTATATTGCCTCATAAGCTAAATTATAAGTTACTTGAATATGCTTTAAGGGTCCCAGGTCATGCTTTTCTGGTTATTACCCGTCCCCTTGTGTGTTATGTAGCTTTTTCTGCATGTAAACGGTGTGCAGAGTCACAAACCCTCAAAGTACACCCTGTAGCGAGTAAAACTCTAACGGCCCGTCTACACTACAGGCATCAAAAAATCTTGAAGCTGGGCGTGTCTGAAGCTTGGTGATTTTTTGCGAGCAACGCAACCAACAACCTATCACATGAATCTCCCGCCCCCGACATACAAAGCAATAGCAATGTTAAAACGAAGTAAACTGGATATAAACTCTCCAAACAGGCGAAAAACCTACCAGTTTCACCCACTGTCTCTGCCACCTCCCTCCATGCCTGGTTCCTCCGGTTTGTATCCCGGTAAATAGTTCTGGTCGTAAAGATCGTTAAATTCAAAACCAGGTCCGCTGGAAGTTGGATAACGAGATAAGCCAGCCCTTAATTTCACTTAGATACAGTAAACTACGGACATACAAATGGCAAGTAGACACCGTTTTTCGAACCGGTAAAGGAGGAATGTGTAGTGGGGGGAGTAGAGGACGTCTGCGTCCAATGGATGTCTCCTTTGGTTCCCCCAGTGATTACTAGTACAGTATTATATCGTTACAGTCTCTTCAGTAAGTTTTCTCACAGCGATTCTTTTTTCACAAATATCATACGAGTATTGTTTACAGTTGTTATAGTATCATAATCAATAATCATCAGTACTTTCTATTACAGTATTTTTCAGTTAATCCACATCATCCAGTAATTTTCGTATACTCTAGTTCATATATTATTTTCAGTGATGTTTGAGTTCTTAGATTCAGTATATTTAACTTATTTTAAATTCATACAGTATTTTTACAGAGTCGAATCATACAGTATTTTTCCGTATTTTATATAAAGTATTTCCATTTCAGGAAAGTCGGTAACGATAATTTACATCTTTGTAAAGTATTTTGGAAGTATCATACAGCGATTTTCAGTTTCCCACGCGATACCACCCCAATTTTTTCAGGATTTTTACATATCATACCGGTACAGTTTCTATTAAAATTATTTTTGCTATAAAGTACATTATTTACGAAAATATCATATCAAAGACTAGTGTCAATTATCTACATCGACAACTTGTTATAGTAATTTTTTCACTAGTCAATATTTAGTCACTTCATTTAGTATCGTGACAATACAGGACACTTGTCCAGACCACGGTGAAGTGTCGGTTGCGGGGGTGATGTCCTGGAGAGGCCTCGGGCGTCACGTCGGTACCGGGAGAGACACTAGAGTGGTCGTACCTCTTGTGGCAAAGGACCCCCCCCCCGCCCGCCTCTAGAAGATCACAACCCGGTGTGTTAGTTTTAACCGAAGAATGAAGTAATACATATCTCGTCCCCGCCAGGGTTTGATGCAGGACCCCCCGGTTTACGCCCGGGGACAAGGTAAAAAACTTAGCCAGGCGTCGTTTAAAGATTTTCGTATTAACGCTTATGCCGGGTGTGGAATTTGAACAGAAATACCGGGCAGGTGTGTCGCGCACGGCAACCCCTGCGAACGGCCCGCCCGCACGAGACTTTGAGCTGGTTGTTGGTTAGTGTAATTAGAGGCCGGGGACTGTGTGTTCGGTACGCCAATTAAACCGATCCTCCGAAAACATGACCGTCAATACCTAAGCTCAAACCCCGACTGCGAGAACCAGACCTCCGCAGTTTTCACTTGTACAACCGAGTTGACAGTCGCTCGGTTGCGGATCGTTAGGCGAGGTGCAGCGAAGGGTGCTACGTCAGCCCGCTTTTCACCTGCAGGTGGAAGATATAAAGTTTCACCTTACCACAATTCGCAGTTGCGTGCGGGCAACACACTCACCGGGAATATAACGGGGATGAAGAACATGTACATTTGTATATAATGGGTCTTAATAAAAGTTTATTTAAGGTCAGCTATTTCAACGTCTTTATCCGAAGTTTGTTTAGAACCAATTATGTTTTTTTCGCGGGTTATTAACTTAACTTTATTGTTCGAACCTCTTTATGGGAAGTATAAAAGGTGAACCTCGACCCATAGCAAATGCCAGTGATATGAGTCCTTCCTTTTTTACCTTTTTTATTTTTAGAGTTGCTGCTAAGCCGCCCGTCATCTGTCCAGAAAAAAGAAACAAATGCCGGGCAGAATGCAATGTCCGTAGCTTTCTACGAAGTTTGCAAGCGGGTAAGTGAACTTTACCCCACTACGATCTTCTAAAAATTAAGAAGCGGCTTGAAGTAAACCCCCTCGGTACCGTACGCGGAACGTTCGTAGTGCTCGGTAGTTGTGCTCGTAGTTAAGCCGTAGTTTCAACTGGTTACGAAGTGAAAACTCCGGAGCTTACGGAACCGGTAGTCGGTTAGTTTAAGGGACAAATACGTTTTAGGGCGGTCGACGTTTCGGCGATCGGTTGTTTGGCGTAACGTTCCGAACCCCTCTCGGTCTGGCGTCAAGTAAAGGAGTATAAGGTTTGCTCTATAATGCCATCTTTTA